TAGCGGGACCTTTCAATTAGAGTCGGATCCTTGCGATAAATGCAAGAGTGGCAACTGTAAAAAATCGAATACTTCATCATTTCTCAATAGTGATGGAGTAATACGACATGCATTAAACTAACACGGGATATACAACAATAGATCAATTTACTGGTCGCAGTAGTGTTTGGTCCCGAACAAAGGAAAAAAAAACCGTCTCATGGCGTTCGTATGAGAAAATGGAAGAGTTGCCAGTCTTCATGATTTGTTGTCTTCGCTTATATGCAACTACTTGGTCTGACTGTTCTAATGTGTCATTAAAAGTTATGGACGCGGTTTGTAATTACTAGGTTTTAATAAAGATTTCAAAATTTTCCATATGCTGTTCAATCTTCCTTTGAACATATTCACAACGAGTTTTCTTTATGGATTGTGAATACTTATTACTCGCGATTGTGTACCTTCTCCAATGATGATAAAGACACAAAATATCGAAATTGTACCAGCTGTTCGAGTTCTTCAAAGAAACATACTTTTGTTCAACTAGTTGATTGGTACACGAGTTCAAAGCGTTATTTGGAACAACTAAAGATTCATCTAAGTTACCGGCCGCGAATGGAAAATCCACGCTCCTCTCAACAAGATCCAACGCTTCAATTTTACTAATTCATCGTTGTTATTGATATTATCTTATACATTAATTTCTGAGGTCTCATGATCGATTATTTTCATATCAGTATCAGTAACTGAGCAAATGGAATCAAAATTGGAGTAAAGGCGATCAATTAAAGTTCTACTGTGCCTGGAAATACGCGTATATTCATCTTCCGTTTGCTTTAAATTGAAAAAAATCAGCTAAACGCTTCAAATGATTCGAATTATAGTTATCACGCCAACTAATATTAAATTCAACAGCCAAAATATTTAATTTACTAGATTCAAAAAATGTCTTGAGCCAGTTCTCTAAACTTCTACAAAACGCTGGTCAGTAGAACTGGGAGAATGATACAAAACACCATAATTACCCATCTTCATGCCACGTACAACTGCAATGCCCAAGAACCAGTTGCCATCAATAACTTCGTTGGTACGAAGGTTGAATTGAACTGATTATTTGACATAAATAGCAACACCGCCAGTGTGTCTAGAATGTGATAAACAAAACAATATATCCCGGAATACTATACTGATCAAAAGCTTCAGTTTCTACAATATGAGTTTCAGATAATAAAACTAAAAGAGAACGTTTTTCCTCAACAAACTAACGTAATGCTATGTACACACTTAGAATTTACTATTTTTACACGAGACGTAATTCAGCTTTGACGTAAATTATGGAACGTAAATAAACATGGCATGTAAAATTAAGTGTCCTGAAACTGAAACACATGCAACTCGACGAAAAGAGCGTTTGATTGAATTGATTTTCTCGTCCTTTCAACTGATTCTTATGTCAAAAGAGCCGCTTGCATGTGTCGGTCTCAGGACACTGAAATTTACATGTCTTTTTTGTTTTACAGTTTGTTGACAGCCTCGCAATATATAAATTAAAAAAAAAATCGAATATGGGGAAAAGTTAAGACAGGTTAGAAGTGTACTAGCAGACAGACTAAAACCACAATCAGTTTTCCTCATATTCGAGAAATTTTCCCCGGAAAAGCGTCGGAAAATTTAGTCATTCAATGAGTGACCAACGGTTTCACGAATTTAAGTAACCTGAACTCAAATATGACTAACTTTTACTCAATTTAGAGTCATTCTCATTGGCCGTGCATGCGGAATTTGTTTAGAAAAGTATGTCATGTGCTTGTTACAACCCTTTCATTTATTGAGCATTAAACCAGCGACAAATTCACATGACGCTTAACTCTGACTTATGCCCGAAAATCGTAAATGGCCGATTTAAATGTGCAGCAATCCAAACTGTCAAAACCATAGGATTTTTTGATCTAGATAAAAACAATTTGTCCAGAATAGATCAGAAATGAACCAATACATAACTTTTGCATGCGAGTTCATGGCTTAGCTAATTATTTCGCGCGAACACGGAGCCAGATGTCAGTAGTGTACTTTGGTCAGAAATTTTATTGTTTTTGCTATGTTCATTCATGTTGGTTTGTCGGTGATTTCACGTTATTAATATGATGATAGCGATAAATGATACACAGCAAAAAATATTAGATGTCACCACACAACGTAAACAAAGGGATTGTCCTTCTCTGCCGCAACGGTATTTCTCTACGTGAAATCAACATTTTGTTTCACCATGTGTCAAACAACATGCAAGAATGCCATATGAATAGAGTGAATTTACGATTTTCGAGGTGAAATGAAATAAATCCAAACGAATTGAAACCGATTGATGGTGGTTCATTTTCCTATATAATAAAATGGCAATACAAATACTTTGCATTTGCAATTGAGACCTTCGACACCGAACACCGTTGTACTAGAATTGTACTAATTTATGCTAGTACATCAAATAGTACATTTAGGAGTACTAGCAGCTTATAATTAGTACGCTCTTACTTGCTGCGAAACCATTATTTCATTGTTCATCATCGACGATAATAACAATAGCGTAGAAAACGCTGAAAGTATCCTCGCTCAATTCTCCTTTGTTTCGATTAATTCGATACAATCACATATTTTCGTTTATCAAACCACTTAGTTTTTTTTTTCTACCGAGCCCGGCTGGGAAAATCTCGGCAAAAAAAGTTTTACTGAGATCTCAGCAAACATTTCAGCTAGGCATTATCCGAGACTCAGCAATCAAATGTCACTTTTTCTGAGATCTCAGTGAAACTTATTTTTGCCGAGATTTGCACAGCCGTGCTCGGTAGAAAAAAAAACTAAGAGTGCATGTTTAAGCATTTGGTTCTGTACTGCTCAAAAACATACGAGGCTACACAAAAAAAAAAATTGCATAAACGATTATGAATTATGATTATGTGCATATGACTGAAAATCAAAACGACATTGCTCGCTGGCATCACTGGATTTCCTATGTCACTAATGTTGACACGCGAGTCCCGTTTTGTTAGGCGATGAAGATGAATTTTAAACTAAAATTTTATTTACTGTACATCATTTCCACATTCGCCCTATGCAGATAACACATTTGAAATTCGTGAGATTGACAGAACCACCAGCACCAAATTTTCGGGGCACACAGGAAATATACTGGAGTTGTCAAGCTGCCCCCGCGTTGGCCAGTGTGTCACCTTCGTGGGACCGGAAGAAGGACAGCAGGCGCTTCTGGATGCATTATTCTTTATTTATTTGGCCGTTGATGGTGCCGGTCGTTATGTACGGCTTGCTGAATTTGCCGCACTCACAGATCACCTGCCACACTAAGTACTTCTTGGAAAATTTGTCGACCTTCTTCTTCCGGAACTTCTCCAGAACATCCAGGCAGGACTTGCCGACGAAAAAGTCCAGGCCGGGGATCTGCTTGGCGTCCACTTTAATGTACGTCTCATCGTCCATTACGATGCATTTCGGCTGCACCAAACACTCGTGGTACAGCTTCCTGGCGCGGGATTTGGCCACCGTATTCTATTTATTGGTTTGGTTAGGCGCCTTCCTTACGGAAGAATTGACCTTCTTGGCCACGTCCCGAATCGAAAGGTTCGGATTGCGCTTGAAGTAATCCCTCACCTTCCTTGCGTTCACGGGGTCGGCCGTCTTTGATTTTCTTCCGCTACCAGCTCACCGCTGGGTCGTCTGAGTCTCCTTGAACGATTTTACCACACGGGACACCGTCGAATGGTAGATTTCAAACTGTTTCGCGGTCCACCTGTGGAATTGGAAGCCTTCTCGATAACCACTTGACAGAATTTGACGAGATGTTGCACATGTAAACATTACACTCTTAACTAGTTTTTCTCAAAATTTCATCAATTTTTACCCGTGCAATAAAAAAAGTTATACACAAAAGAAAATGTTGCATTTTTTTCGAATACAATCCTTATGCCATTAAAAGAAAATTTTCCCAACTGCAAAATAACTTTCCACCAGCTTCACGTATCGTTCTTCCGTAAACTCAGCTTGTAAACAACTACGACAAACACACATTTGGCTGCAAACGACTCAAATATTCAGTTAACCATGATGAAAACTTTCACAATCTACCTTCCTTTTCTGGAAGCCAGCAAAAAAAAAGAACATCACTCGTACACGCCATTCACCCAGGTAGAAATTACGCTTTAGCATAAAACTATTTTCAATCAATTTCTCTTGAAACGAAACTTTTCCCCCCATTTGGAGAATGTCTCTACAGGTTTTTTTTGTTCCCTCTCCTCAAAGTCGAAACCGGGTAAAAACTTCCGATCGTCGAAAATTGTAACCTAAATCAGGGTGGAAAGTTGCTGACAGGTGTAAAAGTTTTCTCCCCGACCGAAAACTGACTGGCAAAAGTAGGAGCAGCAGCAGTGGCAACGCAAAAGACAGACACTTTCACATCCCATCCAGGGTAATGAATTTTCCAGTTAGTTTTTTCTGTTCCGAACTCCTTTTGCCCACTCTCACATACATCTACAAACACACGCGCTCACCAAACGCAAAACTTTGTAACCAACCCGATGAAATTTCACATTATTTGCTCCGTTCGGGGCTCGTCATGTGGTTGTGGAATTTCTGATGAAAAGGGTTGTTGAATTTTGAGGCATCCTTTCTTTTTCCATTTTTTTGTTTGCTTTGATCAGTTTGGGGAAAAAAGCTTTCATCGGTTTCAATCAGAAATTATTTATTAATTTTTGAACTGGCCCATCATCGTCCGCCATCAACCAACGAGTCAATAATAGATGTCCCAGCTCGGCTGTGGTCAATCCATAGTTGCAGTCAACATAGGTTCGGTCAACCTCAATTTGGACCGCTGCGGGATCATGGTGGTGTGGCACACTGAGTTTTTAATTTAAGTAATTGCATCATGCCTAGATGCGGTTTACCGGAGCAGTGAACAATGATTTTTGTTGTGGCAGTCCGAATCTGACATCGTTTCCATTTTCTTCTCTTTTCAGACAATTACTAGCTCCTAATATTGTACAGAAACACTATCTCCCAAGCGGGTTCGCGCAGGATTCACATCGAGTAAGTACAGCCAAACTCCCTAGCTCAATTAAAAAAAAAAACAACCAATTCCCATGGGTAGGCGTGGGACTTTAATTGAAAAACAAACCGGCATTTTTCTGCTAACCGACGGCGAGCACGCACCTAAATAATACTAGAGCGGTGTTTGGCGATTTATGGGAATAAGCTCACGACTTATGGCGTGTGCTCTTACTTCGTGGTTAAATGACCCCTCCTACGGACGGCTTGCGTGTGATCCTAAGGAACACAAACATTTAATCTACTTAAGGCTAAACATGCCAGGGGATTAGCACTCATGCACGCAAAAGAAAACTTGTTCCACTAATCGGAAGGGTAGCAACTGTTTAAGGTCTAGCCGGGCTGATGTGCCAGAGATGGGAAGGGGCTGGTGGGAACAAATCGTTAGGTCAATGCGAAAATTAACTTTTATTTATAAACTTATACTAGCCAAAACATGACTTGACTTTTTTTCAAAGTTTGAGATTTTTGAAAACCGATAAATTACCAAAATCTCGGTTTGCGTTGCGTTGTGTTTGTAACGGAGTGATTCGTCGATTGCATACTGGCAACTCTCATGCATCTACTCCAACGTTCTTATTCTAATTGCTTCAGGAAAACTATTTGGGAGTGAATAGCTCTCCAATCAGAGTTCACAACAGGAAAAACATGACAATAACCCTTGCCGGCCACGCTCATCTTCTTCGCTACAGGGAAAGGACAGTTATTGTGGATGTAAAATCTGCTTAACGGGAGGCCAGCGACTCATCGACGCCCCCATAGATGGTTAGTTGGGTAATTATTTTTTATTCTTTTTGGGTAACCTAGAAATTATTTTATTTTGGAGGAGCCTTGGAGTAAACCCACGATCTTCTACTCAGTAAGCAAAAGTGGCAGCCATCAAGATAGCCGAGCTCCTCAATTGAAATGTTGAGGCCTTGGTAAAGTTTTAGGGAATACTAATGTTAATATAATGTAAACAAATAAAATGAAAGAGTCTCGCCCGAATCAAAGATAATTAGGTTCAAGTAAGGAAGCTTAACACTCCGAATAAGATGCCTCAGAAAAACGTGTAACGTCAAGTTGGCAATGGCATAGCTTAACCATTTCTTGGTGAATTTAAAAATTGAGGTATCTCTAGAATTCCTAAGGTCTGTAGATTATTTTGATTGTAAAATCATTCGAAAAGAGTCGTTACACGTTTTTTTTTTTAAGTGTGTTTATGGCTTTTGCAAATGGCTTAAGATCTATAATCTACATTAATGGGCACATATGTTCATAATTAGCTAGACTACCTTCATGATTCTTATACAAGGATAGTGGAGACACTAGAATCGTCCTCAGGCAGATCCGGAATAGCCTTAAAGTGGTCAATCCGCGAAAATGAGCCTAGAGGTCCGCGTTTTTTTTTTAACATTAATAACTGTGATATTAGCCAGAATTTGTGGTCGTGACAAACATGGACCTGGATGGCCATAGGACCGTCCTTCGGAAGATACGGAAAATCCGTAAAAGTGGACCAGTGGTTTCTTATATCACAGTCATTAAAAAAGAACTGCAGAACTCTAGGATCAGTTTCACAGATTGACAAATTTACGGATGTTCCGGATCTTTTGGAGGACATTCCCATGGCCATCCGGAGCAATGTTTATGTCACGACCCTAAATTCTATCTTAAATCGCAGTTCCAGTGTTTTCGAAAAAAAAATACCACGGTTTTTTCACAGTTGCATGGATGATCCACTTTTACGGATGATCCGGATCTTCTGGAGGACGGTCCAATGGCCATCCAGGTTCATGTTGATGTCTCGACTCTAAATTCTTTCACATATCAAGTGTTTTCGACAAAACTACAGAGCTCTAGAATCAGTATCATGGATGGACCATTTTTATGGATCTTCCGGAGGACGGTTCCATGGTCATTCGGGTCCATGTTTATGTTAAGACCCCAAATTCATTCTAATATCACAGTTCCACGTGTTTTCGGAAAAAACCGTGGAACTCTTTGATAATTTTATGGCTTGCTTACTTGCAATCAGACTAAGGCCTTGTTGTCCTCTGCTGTCCGAAGAAGTCGTCTCCACTCTACTCGATCCATGGCCACACTTCGCCAGCCTCGTAGTCTGCGAAGGGTTCGCAGGTTGCCTTCTACTTGGTCGATCCACCTGGCCCGCTGCGCGCCTCTTCTTCTTATTCCTTTTGGGTCGCTTTCCAAAACCATTTTCACTGGGTCATCGTGTGGCATTCTTACGACGTGCCCAGCCTACCGTAGTCGCCCAATTTTTGCAATGTGGACGATGGATGGTTCTCCCAGCACCGGATTAATCAGCGTCTTGCAGACAGTTAACTTCGCGCGGCGTCGAATTTTATTCGACCGGAGCGTCCTCCAGAGTTCAAAGAAGCACGATTCCCTGCCATAATGCGTCTTTGAATTTCTCTGCTGGTATCATTTTCGGCGGTCACCAGTGAGCATAAATACACGAACTTATCGATCACCTCGATTTCGTCACCGTCAATCTGAACTCGGGGTGGGAGGCTAACATTGTCTTCCCTAGAACCTCTTCCTTTTATGTATTTTGTCTTTGATGTGTTGATGGCAAGTCCAATCCGCCTAGCTCCAGCCTTCAGTCTGATGTACGTTTCCCTCATCGTCTCAAAGTTCCGGGCCATGATGTCGATGTCATCGGCGAAGCCAAGAAGCTGGATGGACTTCATGAAGATCGTGCCACTCGTGTTTATCCCAGCTCTTCTTATCACACCTTATAACGCGATGTTAAATAGCAGACACAAAAGTCCATCACCTTTCGGTAACCCTCTTTGAGATTCAAAGGGACTCGAGAGTGTCCCCGATAATCGAACAACGCACATCACTCGATCCATCGTCGCCTTGACCAATCACTTCAGTTCATCCGGAAATCCGTACTCGCCATAGTATCTGCCATAGCTGATCTCGATCGATTGTGTCGTATGCAGATTTGAAATCGATGAAAAAATGATGTGCGGGCAAGTTGTACTCGCGGCATTTCTGCAGAACCTGCTGAATCGCGAATATGAACCCATGAAGCCCACCTGGTATTGCCGCACGAACTCTTTTGCAAATGGTGACAGGCGGCGGCATAGAATTTGGAAGAGTCCCTTGTAGGCGGTGCTCAGCAGTGTGATCGCGCGGTAGTTGCAGTAATCCAACTTGTCGCCCTTTTTGTAGATTGGGCATACGACACCTTCCATTCACTCGTCCGGTAATATCTGCTCCTCCCAAATCTTGGCAATTACCCAGTGCAGCGCTCTAGCCAGTGCTTCACCACCGTATTTTAATAGCTCACTTAGTAGTTATTCGTTCAAGTTAAATGATTTACGACTGTTGTATCCATCATTGTGAGCATCAATTGGGGTTTTACACAAACAGATCGGTTCTCCTACATTACTTACACATTCATCCAATTTTGTATTTGCGTATTCATAAGCGAAACCTCCCGTTTTGTCAACTCGGTTGACTCTTTTGTGAATTTCAATTTCATCGGTCTGCAAAGCGAAATTGACGATGGTGCATCATTATTCCAAACAAGTTCTTGCGTTTCTTCTAATTCACGATGTCCAGTTAACCTTAAAGGAACTAATGAGAATTGATTGAGAATAGATTGGAACATGTTTTACTTTGAATTCCTTTGTGCATCTTTGAACGGCATAGAAGGATGACCAACGGATGATTTTGAGGGCAAAAGGACATCGACAATAAATTCTCCTCCAAGCCAACCGAAGATCTTCAAAACTCGTTCACGTTTCCTTCCAGCTGCCCGCCAAAGTTTCTAAAACTTCAGCATCATCAGAGTAAGCTTCCTTTGCACCAAACTTAGGTCCAACTCTTCTTCAGTAAACTATTTCTTTACAAATTCCAATAAATCTTTTACCTTATCTCTGTTCATGAAAAGAAATGTAAGATCGGCAAAACGAAATGCTGAAAAAATAAAATCTAAGTTAATATAATGAAAGCACTTGAAAAAAAAAAAATACTTTTCTCATTTTGAAACGTTTTGAAATGAGCAATGCAGCGTCTCAACAATCAAAGCTTTATTTATTCAAATTGCTCAAAAGTCATCTAACACATGGAACAGAGAAAAACGAAATGGACCGTTACGAAATGGAACGCAGAATCAAAAGAAAACATAAAATACGGCTACCAGAAACTCGCATTTCTGATGATCGTAGGGCTACTAGAAGTTCAAATTAAAAATAAATTGACAAATTGACCGTGACAAACGTTTTAAAAGTGTTCGGGGAGCGTCTGTCGACCGTCAGGAAGCCTGGAAGCGGTGGCAATCGTAATCCGGACGTGGCAGCGACGACAAAGAAGGTGGCGGTGAAATATAAGCGGAATCCTAACCTCTCCATCCGGGACGTCGCTGGCAAGCTCAATGTCTTCTATACTACTGTGCAGCGGGCCAAGAAACGAGCCGGGTTGTCGACGTTTAAGAAGGTGAAGGTGGCGAACCGAAAATACAAACAAAACACGTCGGCAAAGCAGCGATCCCGAAAACTGTATGCGAGTCTGCTCACAAAGTTGGCGGATTCCAAGCAGCTTCCGGGACAGGAGTTTAATACCGCATCAGGAAAAGGGAAGGTGAATGAAACATCTTGTCTGGCAGGCCATATGCACGTGTGGTCTAAAAAGCGGAATTTTCATTACTACGGGAACCATCAATCAAGAGATCTACGTCCGGGAGTGCCTGGAAAAGCTGCTGCTACCATTCCTAAAGCCTATTATCCTGTGCTGTTCTGGCCGTTCTTGGCGAGCTGCCACTATGGGAAAAAGGCAATCGAGTGGTACGATGCGAACAACGTGTTTGTGGTACCCAAAGACCACAACCCTCCCAACAGCCCAGAACTCCGCCCTATCGGACGGTATTGGGCCTTGGTCAAACGAAATCTAAAAACAACTAATAAATCCATGGAAAACGAGCAGCAGTTTAAATCTAACTGGCGTTCGGTGGCGAATAAGATCGATGA